GAAGAAGAAGAAGAAGAAGAAGAAGAAGAAGAAGCAGAAGCAGAAGATGAAGAACAAGAAAACGCCGACAAAGAAGAAGAAGGAGGCGGAATCGTAGGGGCAATGAGGAGAATAATAATAATAATATAATAATAATAATAATAATAATAAAAAGAAGAAGAAGAAGAAAAAGAAGAAGAAGAATTAGGGGGGGGGGGGGCGGGTGGTGAAGAAAACAGCGATTTTACTTTAAATTAGTTGCCAAATATTGAGGTGATAGAAATTGACACGTTTATTAATTGTGCATAATTGACAGTCGCATGTTGAAAACTGGCTCTATATAGCATGCCAGAAATATGTGTCTAACCTCTAACCTTTAATGACACGAATCATGGATTGATTGCATAAAATATTTTTCATTTTATAAACTCCATTTTCAGCTTGTGCTATTCTGTTCTTTATCTCTTCGATACATCTTCCGTCGGGCGTTATCCATTTTTTGTTCACAGGTACATAAATATTTTTTATTTGTCCTAAAATAACGTCTTCTACTTTTATTATACAATTAGGCACAATCCTGTTCTTTTATATTATTTTAACTTCTGTCTCCTAGGTATTCGGACTGAGGCACATCTTATCACTTTCCACCACCACCTTATCTATCAATCCCTGTAATTCTTTCTGACTTGCCACTATCAAGACGGTTTCATTAGCATAAAGTTGGTTATTTATGTGCAGCAATGCCTTTTCGTATCCATACACAAAACATATACTTGTCTCCCTGAAAATAAGACTAGGTCTTATATCAATTGTTGCTTTTACAAAATGCTCTAGGCTTGTGTTCGGTTGTATTTTTAGAAACAAAATCTGAATTGACTAATGTACAAATTGTTACATTTACACAAGTACAGTTATGCAATCTTGTTGAAAAGCAACCAGAAAATGCCGGGGCCAAAAAATCCTACTTCTTCATTACACAGTGACGTACCTTGAATTATGAACACGGAAAGAGAGAGAGAGAGAGAGAGAGAGAGAGAGAGAGAGAGAGAGAGAGAGAGAGAGAGGGGGGGGGGGCAAAGTGGTCTAGCCGTTTGCCTTGCACTCTGAAGGTCGTGGGTTTGTTTCACGGCTGCGTTGTTCGGTCCACGACTGCAATTTTTCCATAGATTCCTGAGGATAGTGGCCTTAGCTAAGGAGTTTCGGCTTTGTGTGACACTCTCGGCAGACTTATAGCCGTCTGCAGAGACAGACCGAGCTACGTGGGATAAAACCAAATGTAATGAAATCAATTCTTTTGACTCTAACATTGGCGAGCAGGTAAATTCATTATTAGGTGCGTCCTAGTCTCCCATTTCAGCAGACGATCTCAACTAGGGCTTATATTTGGGGTAGGTCTTATTTTCGGGGAAGCTTGGTGCTTACAAAAACGTCTACACTTGGTTATGAGGTTCGTTTAGCCCCATAAAAAGCATTAGAAACATTTGAAAAAAAAAGGTGTCCTAGCTGCCAGTTCCGTAGGTCCTAGTTAAAAGTTAGTTTTGAAGGAAGCCTCTTACGACATGCTTGTTGGGCAGGCAGTGGGCGTATTCTTGTTTTCCCCACATTGGGACCCGGAACCCACAAGGTTTTGTTTCCCTGCTATGATCCTTCCCTGCACTCTAGTCGAAAACTCTCAGCCAGATCTTTCACCTCTATGAACAGAACCAACGATGTGCACTATTGCATCATCTAGCCCAATGTTTTCATCCATCAGTTGCTGTACCTCTGTTTCTGTCAGACCGTTGCATCACTCAAATTCTCTCCCTAGCATGTTAATGACCTGATAGAAACTGTTGTTGTATGTGATCCCCCTGACACATGTCTCCCCCCCCCCCCCCCCCCCCCACGCCACCATTTTTTTTAACTTACGCGTATGTTGAGTTGAGTCAAGAATTGACATCACAGCACTCGGGGCATTTCCATGCATGCTCCGTCCTCATATTCAGCAGCCAGCGTAGAGTTCCAATACTGATGGTACCGTTCACAATCTGGTTAAAAGTCCGCCTTGCCTTTCCTCTGAGTGTAGTGAGCCGGCCAGACCCCTCTGGTTACACCCAAGTGCCTCATTATTATACTTACGTGTATTTACCCAGCTGAGACCGTTAGCCTAATATTATCTTTCTCGAGGTCTATACACGTGTTTTCTTTCTAAACTGTCTCCTTAACAACCATTAGGATTGTCATGTCACGGATGTCTTTCATCACTGGTAGGTCACATGTAGACACTGGCTTGGTTAACACTTTACCGATGTCAGCCTAAGCAAGAGTAGCCTAACGACGCCTCCCGGGTCAAATTTGGAGTTAAAAATCTACCCAGAATACTTCAGCACCCTCGCCGGTGCTACAGGTCTCGTACACTGCGATGAGCTACTTCGGGCTCAGACTTAAGTCAGAAGTAGAAAGGAACACTTATGGGTTACTACCCTTGTGCCATGATGTTTATACGTTGTTCAAATTCCAAACTTTCTAACTGGTGTTTCTCTTGTGTAATTGAAAAGACTCTTGGCATTCCTTCAGTCTGAATCCGTTCAAGCAGGGCCGTGTCGTAGATTTTCTCATTATGATGCAAGTCTTTGTAATGACACCCGCCTAAATAGTTTGAATTGTGTTTTCATTTCGTTGTTTATGCCGCCCCTCTAGTGTGCCGATGTGGGCGCCTCTCGACCCTGCGTTCAAGGCACTCTGAGATAGTGTTAAAGTTCCCAAGCGATAATTAGGGTTTGAAAGAACCCGATGGCTGAGCAATAAGGCCAAAAGCCTCTGTTCCGTATATGTCGCGGCCAAAGTCTTGTAAGACCTATGTTAAATGTAAGATCATTAGCCTATGCTCCATCTGTGTGGCCTCCGTAGTTTTCTGTGTCGCAAAGCCGCGCTAGCACTTGACCACAGTCTGCTCTTTGTGATGTTTGCACAATGTGCGATCAAAAAGCAAACCAAAGAATTTTAATCTATCTCTTCTTTAATCGTTTGTATCTTTTATGGACATGCAAGGTAGGTCTTCCTTTCCAGTGTTGTTGTTTAATGAGTACCAGAAAACACCGGCCTTCTCAAGTCTTCTGAGTCTACTGGCTAGGCATCAACCTGGCTGCTTTGAGATACGAAGATAAGTGATTTTGTGCATTTGTGTAGTTTTATCTAATTTATGTATGTGCTGATGAAGGCTCCATAGCTGCAACGGTTTTGTTTGTGTTTGTTATATTGTGAAGCTCGCAGATATTCTTCTCGTTCGGTTTTATATCTTTAATTGGTCTTCTCAAAGTTCACCCTTGACCCAGTTTGTTCACACCACGTGGTCATCTTATGCGAAGCACTCTTTGCGGACACCATCACAAAGCTTACATGTATGGGAGGGAGAACAACGTCGAGTGATGGACGAACAGCAGCCAGCCTGAGAGAGTGCACAACCAAGACAGGAGACAGCGTGCTGCAGATCCATAACAACCTGCTTTCCACAACCCTCTCTAAAATCTTTCTCTTCTTCTTCGCGTTCACCGGCTGTAAAGTCTGGCGGAAAGTTGTCGTTTTTCGCCCACGTCTGGGCTTTAGTCTTATTCCTGAACTTAAGTGTTGCCTGCACATCGGTTTTACATATCTGACGTTTTTGTATGCAGACTGTTGGTTCCTCGCCTCTCACGGAGATGCTCGCAGACAGCACCCAGTTATTCAATTTACATCATGCGTGTTGAAGAGGCAGTTGGTCTAATCCTCTTTCTCCCACAATGCGCCCTCGGAACCTATAAGGTCACATTCTAGAAAAATAAGGTGCCGGTACTTACTAAAAAATGTCTATTGTAAAATACTGAAACAATTACAGGTACCGTAGTAACGAAAAGGATAAAAAAAGCCGAGATTGCAGCCAACCTTCGTTGTAGAGACGGCACCTGATTGTTTGAAGGCGAACTATCGCTTATAAGAGAAAAGCAAGAGTAAACTGGCAGTTCAACTACTGGTTTAAACATATTTTTCGTATGATACGGTACTAAAGCTCATTTATGTTCAGTCAATACGTCGATGGGGAACGGAAATATCATAAGTGGCCCCGCCTGTAGGAGGCGGAGAATGTACCCTTTCTAACCTTTGCTAACTTTTGGTCAGCCCCCTTGACAGTCGGCTTTTGTTTATGTTTCTGAAGAATTCTGGCGTCTAGTCCTTTTAATGAGTAAGGTAACTGTTGTGTTAAATGTAGCAGTTAAAGATAAGAAATGAAATCTACAACAGTAGGTACAAATTATAGTATTTTTTTTAAAATGTGCTTAAGCAGAGGCTTTGATAAAAAATTGTAAAAAAAATGAATCCAAAATGGGTAGTGTAAGACTGCAAAACCACCGTTGCTCATTTCTTGGTAATGGAGGCGGGGTTATTGTCATTCGTTTCTTTTCTGCGTGCTCCTTACAAATGATCGACAGTTTGAGTGAATGATTATAGCCAGTCGTGCAGCGCCGCGCTAGAAGCCGCTAATTTCGGAGCCTGTGCATAGCCGTCAATCATTTTCCAGCGTCGACCAATGGTAGGAAGGCTGGGCTTCAATCCTGGATGATAATGCTCAGAGGTGAACCTGGTTGATTCAAATGCATGAATAACTCAGAAGACTAACAGCTTGGATTTTGCAAGTCAGATCAGCCGTTGGTATTGTGGAGTGTTCTCATTTGACCAACCTTGTGACTGTTTGCGTGTGTCTTACATCGTTGGAAGTAGATTAGGCAGAATTTTGGGGACAGGGAAGTCCTCTGTATTTGTTTCATAGGACACATTCTTGTTTCGGATTAGAAGTAATTATTGAATTCAGTGAACCGGATTTTTTTAAAGACTAGTTCTTCGTTTAATCCTGGTGTCTTTTCTCTTCTCTTACCTTTCTCTGAAAGGTTGGAGTACTGGTTGTTATATTTGTAAGTGCGCGATGTTTTACTTTATGTAGACTAGAATCTCAACTAAGTGTTAGACTGCAGTGTCGGCTTCGCAACATAGCAGTGCATTGTTACAGTATGGCGGCACCTAGTGCCTCCTTGTATCTCGGCGTACCTTCGCCTCTGAACACTGGTCAACAGATGAGCAATCACGGGATGCATGGACACGCCAACCAGCACTACTCCCCTCACCGTGACATGCCTGAGATGAAGTACGTACCCCCGCAGCATCATCAAAACGGTCACAACCACCACTTCAGCCAGCACCACAACTCGTGGTTGAGTACCAGCCCGCACATGGAGACTGGACACTGGTCAAACATGGGTGCGCATCTACATCACCAGGATATGAAGGTGGGTTCGATTAACAGCATGGATAGCCACATAGGGACCTTACACCATCGACCTCAGAGTCATCAACAGATGCAGATGGCGCCACATAATTGGCAGATGCCGCCCCTGCAGAACCTGTCCTCTCTTCAGAACGTCAACCATTCCATGCAGCACCAAGGTTACATCAACATGAACGGAATGATGTCCCCCACGCACCAGATGCATCACATACTTCGAGAACAGGACCCTGATCTCGACCACCACCCGCCGTCCGACGAGGACGCCCCGACCTCTGACGATTTAGAAGCCTTTGCCAAACAGTTTAAGCAGCGCAGAATCAAACTAGGCTTTACACAGGCTGATGTAGGTTTGGCTTTAGGCACGCTGTACGGAAATGTGTTTAGTCAAACAACGATCTGTCGTTTCGAGGCCTTGCAACTTAGCTTCAAAAACATGTGCAAACTAAAGCCTTTACTGCAGAAATGGTTGGAAGAAGCCGATTCGTCGACGGGCTCCCCAACAAACATAGACAAAATAGCGGCCCAAGGAAGAAAGAGGAAGAAACGAACCAGCATCGAGGTAACAGTGAAAGGAGCGTTAGAGAGCCACTTCCTGAAATGTCCCAAACCATCAGCCCCCGAGATCACTCATTTAGCCGATCAGCTGCAGCTAGAGAAGGAAGTGGTCAGGGTTTGGTTCTGTAACCGCCGACAGAAAGAAAAACGCATGACTCCGCCAGGAAACATAGGTCCTAACGGAGAGATCCTTATGTCTGAGGGAAACGACGATGGATCCTCGATTAACGACGGCAGCCCTGGTCAAGACTCCTGCAGCCCTTTACACAACAGCAGCGGAGGAGGAGGAGGAGGCTCCCCGGGGCTACCCAGTTACGTCAGCTCACTCACTCCTCATTCTTTGAGCAACCACTCCGGCTCGTCGCCGATGTCTCAAGTCTCCTCGTTACTTTCATACTCTATGGGCGGGCATCATCACCATCCGCAGCACATTCCACTGTCTCATTCTCCTCCACCACACTTATCACACCACTACCACCTTCAGCCGCAACATCAGCCTCTCGGACTCAAACACTCGCCGCCGCTGCACTGACTAGCGGCCGAGGAGTCGCATGGCCACATCAGGTATGCGGACTCCTACTCCAGCCACGCAGGGCACCATCCTGAAGACTTTACCCCATTCTCTTCCAGATAGCACCAGTCTGGATTTTCCTTTTCCCGTAAGTACCAGCAAACGATTTTCGTTCAGTGTTGTCTTTAATGTACTTTTGTTGTTGTTAAAAATCTTCTTGTTCTTCGCGTTGACCGCTTATAAACTCCAGTACAAGGTTCTGGTCCAATCAAGGACTTAGGTCTAGATCCAGAACATAAGTTTTGCGTGCCTATCCGATTTACTAATTCGATTTATTTTGTGTGCAGACAGTTGGTTCCATGTATCTCATGTACATGTACTCCAACTTTAAAGGAAACGCCCCTAAATAAGTCGCCACCTACGTCACGCTTGTGAGGAGGCAGTGAGTCTATTCTTTGTTACCTAAAATGGATCCCTGGAACCCACACGGGTTTTTATTTTTTAAAGATGACGATAAAGCAACAAACTACACGACCCTTTATCGCGTTTTGATATGTACAAAGTTGATGGTGATAGCAATTTTCACCTAGAAAACATGAAGACTACTTTTCCCTTTTCCTGTTGTACAACTTTATCAACTTTTCGATGATTGTTGCCTTTTGTTTTTCTTCTTCATCTATAAATTATAACGTAGTCAAAGATAGGTTTCTTACCTGTTAAGTCTGTGAGTACCAGATATTTTGTCGGATATTCGCAAGAATAGCAAGTCGCAGTGAATATAAAAATATGATAACCTGAGTGTCACCAGTGCAGCAACACACATGCCTAGTTGGGGCAGTAAAATAATTAGCCAGGTTTCTGTAGCATGCTTAAATTAAACATCAGATCACATTATTGCTTCCCCGGTATGTACGGGCAATGGCCAGTACCGGATTCAGGCAAAATCTAACTAAGCTACAGTCCGGAGCAGTGCTTTCCAAACCGTTTTGTGTGTCATGGCGCCACTTAAGCCTTTTTGAAATTTTTATGCCCCCAATCTAACTTAAACTTTAGACGCCCCCCCCCCCCTCCCCCTTTTTCGATGGGCCGTGAGTCCTAATTTGGGAAATACTGGCGTAGGGTGTCGCGCTCTGTGAAGGTCTTTGAATAATTCTTGTTTTTATAAATGGAATTGTGTTTATACATATATTTATATTTATATATCCCAAGAAATGTTCGAATTTATTACTATTATTATAAGTATATTATCTTAGTGTTTAAAGAAAATTATAACGTGTTGTAGCTTACTTAAAATTGAATAAAACAATCAGCATAATATAAGTTAAAATAATTTGTTATTAGCTCGTGTATATGTTATAGTTTTTCTGAGATTAATTGATATAATTATAAACGGTTAGGCCCTCGCGACTTTGTCAAGCTTAAGGCCACATCAACTGTAAATCTGGCGCTTGTAAGAGCTGATCGTCATACACGGTACGTTGGTTGGGAATGAAAGAGTTAAGAAGAACAAAACACGTTTGTTGCTCCAGGCTGATAATTTCCCTAGTCTCCTAACAATTATGTCTTTATCAAGTAACAGAAAGTATTGTCAACGGCACTCATAGAAAGAAGTAGAAAGATAGAATTCTTGGGTGTTCGTCAATTTGGACTTTGGCTTTCTTCTAGAGTCTGAGTTTTGCGTGTACATCCGTTTTACTGGCTTGTTTGTGTGCAGTTAAATGTTCCTTGCCGCTCGGCCAGATGCACTCCAACTTCAAAGGAAGTCCCCATTTTGTCGACCTCCTACGACATGTTTGTTAGGGATTTAGTTGATCTAGTCTTGTTTTGTCCACAGTGGGGCCCAGAAGCCACACGAAGAATTAATTTTACTGTATGTTACTTTATGTCTATGTCTTGTATAAAATCTTCTTGATAAAATAAGCAATTTTCAAATAATATATGGTATCCTCCTTCTAATCATCAATTAGCAAGTCCTTTACAGAACGTCGCTCTCTTGACATCCCTTTCCCTAGCCAGCTCTACAACCCCATGTGCTTTTAATGCCAATGCATCTTCAGTGTCTTGTATCCATCTTCACGGTGGTCGACCCCTGTCTCGCCTTCCACAAACCGCACCTTCCATCACCGTCTTTACCAAGCCACCATAACGCGAGAAGTCGCCAAAATACTTCAACTTTCAACTTCTGATAACGTTTAATAATCAATAACATCATCTGGCATCATAGCTCAGGCCCTCTTAGCCCTTCCCCACCTCCTCCGTGTTTTTGGTAAATCTCTCAAATGTTCTCTCCCTTCCAGCGGGGTGGTGGAGGGGGGACCTCATTTCCTTATCCCTGGCAGAAAATTGGCAACAATGTTAAGCTTTAGGGATGTACATAAGTTCTCTTTTTAAGCATTTGTTTATACACGCCAAGTTATTTAAGACCTATAATTGTTTATTTACCATACGAAATATTATTTTTGTTTTATTGTGCGCGTAAACAAGACTAAGTCAATTCTATGATGATACAACTTCTTTCGGCGTCATTGACAAAAGCAAAGGAGCCTTTTGATGTCTGTCGCGGACATAATGTTGTTAGGGTATTTAATAGACGTGTTGAGTGAAGTTGTCAACAAGAAAGCCGGCCCAATCCTCCATCTACTTTGTTTCCTGAATCCTCTAGCAACTCCTTGCATAACCTCTATGTTTCTTGCCTCAGTATACATAGTCCAGAAGTAATGAGAGTACTTTTTAAGGCCAAAACAAACACGCCATCAATAAAGGCAGGCTGGAAATGCTCCTAAAAAGGTTGAAACTCCTCCTCTGCTTCTTCTTCTTGAGTTAAGTTGAACTCAGTCAAGAATTGACATCACAGCCCTCGGGGCATCTTCAGATGCGCTCCGTCCTCATCTTCAGCAGTCAGCTTTGTTCACTGACTGGAAACTCCGGCGCAAAGTACTGGATGTTCGTCTTTTTGGATTTAGGCTTTGTAATAGTGTCTGAGTTTTGCGTGTAAATCCGTTGTACTGGCTTATTATGTACAGTTGGTTGTCCCTAGGCGCTCGAGCAGATACACTATGATTTCAAGTGATCCCCTCAATTAGTCGCCTCCTACGACACGCTTGTTGAGGTTGCAGTGGATCTTTTATTGTTTCCATCACAATAAGTCCTAGGCACCCACAAGGGAACAGTATTTGAGTCAATTAGGTACGTTTATGTTGATCAATGTTTGTTAAAGTGAACATCATACTTATGTGCCATTATCCTCACAATCTGGCACCAGTCTCACTTCTTTGGTTTTAGTGATGCGTTCATCATTACAAACAGAAATAGGACATCTCAGCCCAGCTTCACCTTCGAACATTCCCACAGCAGTTTTGCATCGAGAATACCACCTATTGCACGAGGCTAACATTGATCAGAGTAAAATTATCAGTTCAGCTCGGTTCTGTGCGGTAGATTGTATTTTGATTTCGCTGCTTAAGCCGCCCCTTACGGTGACGCCTGATGCAGTCGAATCTTTGTATTGTAGCACGGCACGGCCCTGATTTAGCTGTCTCGATAGTATTTTTCTAAAGTTTGAAATATAATTGATATTCATCTCTGGTTCCATATTACATAGGTAACGGCGCAACTTTCGCTATCTAAACAAAATGGCTGACCTGGCTGCGTTCTTATTTTGCAAGATCATAGAAGGCTATTGAAATGGCATGCTTTGATTTATGGACAGCGTTTCTGTTTTGACAATAATAAAGCCTTCTTATTTAATTGTCAAACAATGTAAAAACAATATAGACACGTTAGCGTTTTCTTGACTGGTATTCATCTCTGTGTGTGTCTTTCTTTCTTTCTTTCTTTCTTTCTTTCTTTCTTTCTTTCTTTCTTTCTTTCTTTCTTTCTTTCTTTCTTTCTTTCTTTCTTTCTTTCTTTCTTTCTTTCTTTCTTTCTTTCTTTCTTTCTTTCTTTCTTTTCTTTCTTTCTTTCTTTCTTTCTTTCTTTCTTTCTTTCTTTCTTTCTTTCTTTCTTTCTTTCTTTCTTTCTGTCTTTCTTTCTTTCTTTCTGTCTGTCTGTCTGTCTGTCTGTCTGTCTGTCTGTCTGTCTGTCTGTCTGTCTGTCTGTCTGTCTGTCTGTCTGTCTGTCTGTCTGTCTGTCTGTCTGTCTGTCTGTCTGTCTGTCTGTCTGTCTGTCTGTCTGTCTGTCTGTCTGTCTGTCTGTCTGTCTGTCTGTCTGTCTGTCTGTCTGTCTGTCTGTCTGTCTGTCTGTCTGTCTGTCTGTCTGTCTGTCTGTCTGTCTGTCTGTCTGTCTGTCTGTTTCCCCTCGTGTATGTGCGTGTTTGTCTGTAATACTAGTCACACATTAGGGTCCAAATTCCACCACACATACGCACACATACATTCGCACTTCCCTACACACACACGCCAACCTAGATCGCTACTAGAGCCAACACACATGTCTAACCTGACCCCACACAGAAGTAACTATTCCACTCCGTCGATAGCAATGCAACAGTTGGCGCTAATATGTATATGCGAAATTATCGATTTGTGTTTTTTTCACAGCCTGAACACCACAGGCCGACTATCTGGGCTGGTGAAACAACACATCAGTCTATCAGTCTATCAGTCTATCAGTCTATCAGTCTATCAGTCTATCAGTCTATCAGTCTATCAGTCTATCAGTCTAACAGTCTATCAGTCTATCAGTCTATCAGTCTAATAGTCTAACAGTCTATCAGTCTATCAGTCTATCAGTCTATCAGTCTATCAGTCTAACAGTATAACAGTCTATCAGTCTATCAGTCTATCAGTCTATCAGTCTATCGTGTTCAGACATTAACAACGTGCACCCAGTCTAGATATGTGAGCTTTTTGATTTCATTCTTCCACTTCGTCACCATCACGTGCTGTAAACTTCGTCACCCTCACGTGCTGTAAACTTCGTCACCCTCACGTGCTGTAAACTTCGTCACCCTCACGTGCTGTAAACTTCGTCGGAAAGTTTGGGCTGTTTGTCCGCTTCTGGGCTTGCTCCAGAACTGAAAT